TCTCCCTCTATGACAAAAATACGAAAACAACATTCTTCTGCCCAGGACCTTTCGCTCGGCGAACATGACAGTCCAAATTCTATTTTCGACCGTTGAATGATTTTCGTGTCTCCGATTTCGATTCCGTAAAAAGATGCAACCTCGGAATTCAACGTACAACATCAATTTCACACTTAGGAAGCCATCCAGCACATTTTCAACTTCGAAATATTTTAAACCTCAAGTACACCAATATTGCATTCCACGTCCGACCTCTTCTCACAATCACCAGAAATCATTGTCCACCATGTACTCGACCTCACCATCTGCTGCCTTAGCACACACACCAGACACAAGTCACAAAACTACTCGATCAATTTAATTCCTCTACCATTCAAACAGACATATAATATAGAGCTCTCAATATCAGACTAGTTTCCGTAACATAGCCAATCACAACTCCACTTCACATTCCGGTGGTAAATCACTTATCTCATCAGGAAAAACTCCAGACAATAACAATTAATTGGCAAACCACCAACTTCCCCACTTTCATTAACACTCAAAGTTTCCATCAAAATAAACATCTCATTACCTTCTCGCACTGATTCATCAAAGCAATTCTTAAGCACTTAGCTTAACTCAAAACAAATCACTGCCCACGCCATTCAAGCTTGCAAGACACGTCTATCCCATCCAACATAATCCCAACCACTATCAACAACAGATTAAGGTTGATCAGTTCCTCAATTTGTCAATAGACAGCCGAAAATCATGATAGGGTATAAACCATTTTTACCAACTATAAGAGCGTTTAACCACCCAGTGAGCTACAACTCCACGCTTGCAGCATCTTGGAGAAGCACCGCTTCTCCCCCACTTGTTTCATTCCCACTTCTGCAGACAAAGGTTAGACAACAAACATGTACCGACAGTGTTTTCACACACATGTCGCATACCATGGAACAACAACATTAGACAACTTGGCCGGACGGACCGACCTGCTCTGATACCACTAATGTAACACCCTTTCTACCCCAACACATAATAAGGCAAAATAACACGTCAAATCAAAGTGAATAAATAAATCTCATTAAAAATGCCACGAAAGGGCGAACATTTCTCAAAGTCAACAAAACACGTCACTGCTCCGTAACATACGGGTTTTCTCAAAGTACATCAAAACATCATAAAGAGCGAAACTCAAAATATAACTCAATGTTTTTATCATAAGGGAAAGTTGGCAAAATAACTCAACGGTATACAATCAACTCAAGGAACCCAACCCGATGTTACATATCAGAGCAAGACCCTCTAGGCGGACCAAAAGACTAAAATACTCAAAAACTTCAAAAGTACTCCTCAACGGCGTCCACAGCTAAACTGCATCATCTGCATGTTACCCACGTGGAGGTAATATTCAAACAGGCAGGGTGAGTAAAACAATTCATAATAATCAATGTATAACAATTAATGCATAAACAACGTCATATTTATATTCAACACATTGATATTCTCCAAATATGCTCAAAGGCCACAACGTCATAATTTATACAAAAAGACTCATAAATGCAATGCGACACTACTCAATGCATGTGATACTAATCATCACAGCTCGATGGACACTAGGCCATCAACCCTCCATAGATCCCCATCAATAGGATCAGAGCACGTTACAACACTTCACATCCACACAGTGGGATTGAAGTCATAATAATCGAGGTCCTGAACCGAAGTCCGGATGCAAATGAATGTATGATGCACACGTCACAATAATAATCCTCACAATACAGCATAAGGTGCATCATCATTCATCATATTATCACATAATTCATCATTCATCATGTTATCACATAGTTCATCATTCCTCATATTATTTTATCATATTAATTCAATCAATACATCATAGAAATCATCTTAACATCATGTACATCTCACGCAAAACCCACCGTCATAATCACATCAACCCATCACAGAAATCACATAATCAAAACATCAAGACATCATTGAACCAAAACATGATTCGTTACTAAAACATATACACAATTGACTTCTCAAACATAATTAGATATAAAATATTGGGAAAACAATTCCATTATCTATCCTATGTTATACCTCTGTTCATTAGCTTTCCAACGCTTCGAACGGGGGTCAAAACGGACTTACGGATCCAAAGTTACATCCAAAACAATTTTGACCGAAAACATGAACAGTCGTGACGGACAGAAAGACGCAATTACGCTCCGGAACTGATTTTTACTCAATTATTCTTACGAATCACTCACTCAACGTACCCAAAATATCACTAAAACATTCCTAAGGTTATACGGCAATAACAGCACAACTTCTATGTTTTATTAGGCTCATCTGGCAACATTTGCAACGCCTAAAACACTATTTCCTGCAATTACTCTGAGTACTTCAAAGTTACTCACATATGAACATTCCTATTCCTACAGGGTCAAACATATCACAATCCAAGGTTTTGGCCACGAAGGCAAAAATCATTATTTCTCATCTCTACACTCAAAAGGTCAAGAATACTGACCACTAACCTCCAGGGTCTATTGTCAATTTCCTTACAATTGCTCCGAAAGCATCGTAATTTCAAATATCAATTATTCTATCCCTTATGGGCAGATATATACCAATCTAAGATTTTGGCCACAAAGACCTAAGGTTTCCTTTCTCATATCAATATTCAGTGATACATACTATTAGCCATACTCTCAGAGTCTTATAATTTTTTCCCTAATTTTCCCAATTCAACACAAAATACCTTAAATCATAGACTAACCATAAACACATCTAAAGGCATACATAGAAAACTATGAAAAGTAATACTCCCCATACCTTAGTCGAATCTGCAGCTTTTCACGATCACTTGGGATTTCTGCTTCCGACCTTTCTTCAGAGCTCTGGCCACAATTCCACAGTTAACATCAAATGAATTTCCTTTTCCTTCCAGAATTCTATTTTGTTAAATCTCATAATTTGGGTTTTTCCCATAATATCCTCACTAACTCCTACAATCGCCCAAATTGCCCTTATTTCCCTTATTTCAATTTAATTAATAATAATACTAATAAATTAATATTATATGCTATTAATTAAATAAATATCCAAAAATGCACATTTTCTTAATAATTCACCAACCACCCAAAAATCACCGAAAACGAATATTCTTAATTAAATAATTAATTAAAATACTCCAATTAAATTTGGGGTGTTACAGAATGCCTGTTTGTGCTCTTGACTTCTCCAATCTCGACAATATTTTTATATCTATGTCAGATATCAAACACGCCATCTACTTAAAATATTGCACAATTTTTCTAAACTAAAATATGATGGTATAGTTGGTGAGTAATATTCAACTCAAATGAAATTTTAGCCTTTTAAAAATATTAGTGTCATAAAATCACAATCATGTAATTAAAAATCAACCTCTCTGCCCATTCATTCCTTTCAAATCCAATTTCTCAAAAATATAATTTTATCTCAACTAAGAGGAATGTGACTCATTCACATTAATGCTATACAGCTGCATCAATTTTATATATTCATACTTAGAAAAAAATTCCACAAGAGGGATAGCCAAACAAACCAGATTCTGTATCTGACTCCATTGAATTTTTTATTCTCCGAATCCTAGTCCAATAAAAATATCAAACAATGATGTAGCATTGTAGCTTATTGTCGTTGATTATTTAAGCACGTTCAAATTATTTTCAAACTTGATTACTGACGGTTTATCACGCCCAAATCCTAAATTAGATTTTGTCTCTTCAGTGCCAATACAAACAAAATCTTCCCCATAAGTAGTGAAATTATATCCACTAAATCAACACTATAATATAATATAATATAATATAATATATATATATATATATATATATATATATATATATATATATATATATATATATATATATATATATATATATATATATATATATATATATATATATATATATATATATATATATATATATATAAACAGATTGACAGCAGTCCGTCTCGCTCTATTTCATTTAAGTTTGTTAAAATTAAAGTGGAGTAGATCCCTATTAAAGTAACAGTCAGCAAGACGAACTTAAGACAGGATAGACTGAATGGATAGACGGTAACAAAATTTCAATTCAACCCGTCATTATTTTGACAGATGCGCTGGTCAGTCCGACTTGCTACAATCTGTTTACCCCATATATATATATATATATATATATATATATATATATATATATATATATATATATATATATATATATATATATATATATATATATATATATATATATATATATATATATATATATATATATATATATATATATATATATATATATATATATATATATATATATATATATATATATATATATATATATATATATATATATATATATATATATATATATATATATATATATATATATATATATATATATATATATATATATATATGAAATGGTGGCAGAATATCTTGAAATCACCAAAACCAATAGTTAAGAAACCCAAGACTCCTGAAAAATGGATTCTAACTGTAACCTTTCAGAATGTTCAGGTTTAGGCTGCATTTACGATTCAACCATGAAACATCACTCTTTAATTTTATTTTATTTTATACTAAATCTGACATATAATATTTATATACTCCTTGATGATTTATCTACTTCTCTCCAACTTCATTGATATTTTCTTTTTCACTCTTTGATATTTCAAATAAGGAAATGATGATTTATCTACTTCTCTCCAACTTCATTGACTTGGTTAACAAAAACATCTCATTCCATTAGTCTATTCACTTCACCAATTAAAAAACACTAGTAGTACAAAATTTTGACAATTTAACAAGATGCTAAAGAAAAAAAAAACATAAATAAAATTAAACAAACTAAAAATAAAATTGAGGTGATTCAGCACAAATTAAGTATGATATGATAGTTTTAAATTGCAGTCTGCAACGTTACTTTAACTGCAACTGCAATTTAAAACCGTGAGCTGAGCTGCGATGGTGTTTACATTAGGGGGCTATTGAGAAGACCATGCCAAGGTGAAGTGAGACCATTCCACCCAGCTCTTCCAGAATGGTCAATTTCAGCCATGTTTGAATCTCCATTATTGAACTGCCATGGAAAACCTAACAAAACCCTATTTTCATTCTGTTCCCTAACATTACACATTTCTTGTTTCATGGTTGTTACTGTCACTGCTTGAGTTGTAGCAATGCTCATTTCATGATCATAAGGCAACATCATTTCACCACTAACATTGCCATTATCCACTTCCCCCATGTCCCTATTCCCATATCCATAGTACAGATTCTGCACATTGTTCTGAGATCCCATAATTGCTTCAAAGAAACCATGATTGTTTGAGGAATGGTTCATACCATGATTGTTTGTGTTTATGTTTATGTTTGAGTTGGCATGGTTTCCTAAAATGGAAAAATCATGTTCATGATCAAATCCAAGTTGACCCTTTTGAAGCCTAGCTAAAGCAAGAGTAAGATCATTGGAATCATAAGACAACGAAGGGAAACAAGTGACCGGATTCGGATTGTTTACAAATGCTTGATCTTGAATTCTTCTTGACACCGACGACGATCTTTTGTTCTTTCTACACCCCCCACCAACAGGAACATTTCTTAACGTACCTCCTTTAGTCCAATATCTCCTACATGACTTGCAGAAATATCTTGGTTGCGAAAGACTGTAATTGTTGTAGTAACAAAACTTGGTGTTGCCCGAGTCACATCTCGGACATTTTAGAGCTTCTGGTTGAGGTTTTGCCTTTTTGTCTGGCTCTCCTTTTGAACATGTTAACATGCTCTCCAACGACTGGTTAGACATTTGCTGCAACAACACAACAAAACACAAAATATCCAAATTTAGCCAACATAACAACCAAATCCCAGACAAATTTTCGTCATCGATACATAGTAATTATACACAAATAAATTGTGTATTTAATAGTACGAAGAGAGAAATGTATGTTAGTATATAGATACATAAAGACATGAATAATAATTTGTTGTGAAATTAATATTTCACCTGATGTTGTTGTTCACTAGAAGAATCCATCCATACAAATAAAATTAACTAGTCTTTAATCAACTTAGTTTGAAGGTAGAGAAGAAAAAGTGAGATGAGTTTTGTATATAGATAAGAGGAAAGAAAATTAGGAAGTGATGATGCAAATGAAGTGAGGTAGTAATAAAAATGAAAGGTGAAGTGGTGGTTATATATAAAGCAATCCGAAGAGAGAGAAAGTAACGAGTAATGATGAATTTTGTCGTACGAAATGATGGATGAGGTTAGAGAGAGAAGAAATAAAATTCGAGACACTTCCAAATTCTGTTCTGCAACGGTTTCATAGCGAAATAAAAAAATTTTAAAAAAAAGAAAGAAGAAAAAGAAGAAACATATTACCTCTGTCTCTGTAACAATGTGGGGCCCTCTTTCGCGTGGATGCTACTATTTTGTGGACCCCACTTGATGTTTTTGTGTGGTCCCCACACATCCACCACACCTTACTTAGATACACTCCCTCCATTTTTACGCAAAATTTCAATCTTAATTGCGTGAATACAAACATCCTCCGCAATCAATTCGTTAGCCCCCAAACACAAAACCTCGTCCACTCCCGTTCACATCTTGTTACCTTTTTTGTTTTTTAATAATAAATGTTTAGGTGACTAAGATTTTGTGACTCATTTAGATTAAGGAAAACTTACATTGGGTACTAAGTGTTTGTAATTAGAGTTGTCAATTTAGATGTTACACTTATACTCTAGTTTACAATACTTGCACGCAATGACACTAGTAACTATTTGTGTTATACTCTTGTGGTGATAACCTTGTGTTTTAAATCGAACTATATCCATTATAATATGAGTCAGATTATGAATATTGATATGTGAGATAAAAAACAATAATAATGGAATTATATTAGGGTTATTTTTGAAATTTTGAGTGTTTTATCGAAATTATAAATTTTGTGTCTTTTTTTAATTTATAATTTCTTTTCAAATTTACAAGTCATATAATTATAAATATATAATTATAAAAAGTAAAAAATTATATTAAAATTAAAATGTTAACACCAAATCAAAACTATAATAAAATTATGACAAAAATAATTATAATATACTTATCATTCCGAACATGTATAAGTAGTATTTCAATTCTCACACTAACTGCAACCTTCGACTATTAATCTTTGAATACCATTCTCCTAACATTTTTTTCTGCAAAATCACCAATAATTTTATCAAAATCAATATTCTTTAAAAAATTATTTTCAATTGAAATTGAAATCAAAGCAAGACAATTTAATTTAATTTGCGACATTGTCGTTCGCAAATAAGATTTTAGCAATTTTAATTTTGAAAAATTCCACTCAACTGATGCAATAGTAACGAGAATAGTTAATAATATTATATAATATATGCATGCATTAGAAAAACAATTGAATGTCTTAAGATAACTCAATATCATAAAATTAGATTTTGATTCAACTGTTAAAATCTCTATGACTTTTAATTCTTCATATAAAATTTCACCATCAAGATCATAGGAATTGTCATGTTTCAAATAAGTTTTAAGATTTATACAAGACAATTTCAAGTTCTCATCAAAAAATTACCTTCTTTCAATATGAAACAAAAAATCTAAATATATTCTCATATGTACTATATTGTTCAAATCTTCTATTATGTGAGCCAATTGTTTGATCTACAATGCATAAAAATAATGAATCCTAAAGACTCCTCAGCAGACTCAAGATTTAATTGTCTGCATTCAAATAAATTTTCATCATAGTGTTTCTTTTTAGGAATGTGACATTTATGAGTAAACACACATTCAATGTCTATTTCATTTGCAGTTATTTCAGCACTAACAATAACTTTTACAAAATCAGATTCTCTATATTTTTTCAAGTGAGTAATCAAAACTTTTACTAACTATATAGCCACATCAACTCACATGTCTTTTCTTTTGTAATTTTTTTCTAATTTCATTAACAACAAATAATAACTCAAACCAGATAATCATAGTTAGTAAAAACTCAAAGTTCCTCATTCCATGATGTGCTAAAGATTTAGCTTTACTCTTAATCTTTGGATCATTATCTTGTTCAGCTAGTTGAAGTAAAGCTTCTCATATGTCTTAAGCTTGAGTTTTAATTGCATTTACACTATTCACGTGTCTTTTTCAATGTGTTTATGGCAATGGTTTGAGAGTTAAACCTTTCACATTTTCTTTTAAAATTTTCCAACGCTTTGTGGAATGAGAGAATACAGTGTAAATACATTGTAGTACTCCAAAAAATCTCTAGCTTTAGAACAAGAATTTTTAATGTCACATAATAAATTTATATATGTGATATATAGTATAAAAAAATTAGGGCTCCTAAGAAGCTGGATCCACTGCTCCTCCCAAACACCCTCTAGTACCCCCCCCCCCCTCCCCCCGAATTATACTATCTCAAGCAAAATTAACCTATCATACAATATTAGTAAACAACATGAATAAAAATAAAATAAAAAATAAGAATGCATATACTTTATATACCTAATTCGACTAAACTCGTCTATTATAAAGGAGAGAATAGATATCTCATCCATTATATTTCTATAGTTGTTACAAGAGATTACATAACAAGTTATAAAAAAAGAGCATTTTAAGTTCACACGAACATCTCATATTTTTTACTCATGTGTTTCTCAATCTCTCTTCCACTCAACATAAGAATCGCACAAATCCAAGATGTTTAAAAGTTTTTCTCAAATCCACTAGATATCCTCAAATGTCTTATAATTCTTAGAACAATTGAATCCTAATAATTTCTACCATTGTCTCTCTAAGGTTCTCTATATGTGATTTCACCATATTTCCCCTCGTCTCACAAAAGTGATAGAGACCTTCCTTAATAAAGGCTTAAAACCCTCGATGTACAAGATTTTCAGGTCTGGACCGTGACCCGACATGCCTGACCTAACAATGTTGAAAAAACAGAAAAGAGTTTTGAAACATATTTCCACAATTATCCACCTAGACTTAAAAGTTAAAACTAATGGTGATTTTTATTTATCAATTAACCACTTTATTGCGTTCTTCAAATATTGAATCATTGTTCAACGAACTTGATCGAGTTCAAATAATAATTGAACCCTGATCTAGGCACTTGTATCCACGACCATTTGTTTCTTAACTAGTTTCATAAACTTAAAAGCATGGCTCTTCATTAGTGAATGTATCTCATCCTTAATTACCTTCAACCAATTTTAACTTCTTTGCCTTTGAATGCATCCCTAGATATCTTTGGTTTTCAGTCTCACAACCTTTCGGTCACATTCAAAGTATAATAAATAAGGTTAACACAAATGTATCTCTGATGTGATATAGTTTTCCTCTTTACCTTTTTATGAGTCAAATGATAATCATGACTCACTATAGATTCCTTTCACTAGGACTAGAATCAAGATTCTTGACTCCATCATCATCTATAGTCTATCTAGTAGGAACCTCCACCTTAAATCAAGTATTATCCACCTTAATTTTTTTATTCTTTCACCTATATGTCTTTACACTTCAACTCCTTACAAGACTCACCTAAAGTAATATCTCTACTTATAATGAATTTTGATTATCTAGATTCCACCTTCCATAACTTGTAACCTTTCACACTTTCTGAATAACATATGAAGACACACATCACAACCTTAGTATCAAACTTATCTTTCCTATATGGGAAAACACCAAAGCTCTAAAAACCTTCTAGTTAAAGTAGTCTACTGATTTCCCAATCCAAACCTCCATAAGTGTCTTAAAGTCTATGCTTGTGAACAAAGATCTATCGATCAAGTAAGTTGTTGTAGCAGCAAACTCACCCTATAAATCTTCGACAACCTAACTTTAAGCAACATGCACTTTAATATCTCCAAAATGGTATTTTATTGTATTCAAGCTGTTCGTTTTATTGAGGTGTGCCAACAACATTTATATGCCTCTTTATATCGTGTTTCTTTCAAAACTCATTAAAATAAGGAGTCTTAACTTCCTCTATATCTATAGTGTCCCTAGTAGGAACCTCTACCTTAAATCAAGTATTCTCCACCTTAATTTTCAATTATTGTTCACCGCTAAGTCTTTACACTTAACCCCTTACAATTCTTATTGAAGAAGCATATTTGTTTATTATGAATTTTGATTCTCTATATTTCACCTTCCATAACTTATAACCATTCAGTCCTTCTGAATAACCAATGAAGACACACTTCACAACCCTATCACCAGACTTATATTGCTTGATATGTGCAAACACCATAGCTCTGAAAAATCTTCAAATTATAGTGGTATATTGATTTATCACTTTATTCCTTCATAAGTGTCTTAAAGTTTAATCAGCTGAATGAACATCTATCGATTAGGTAAGTTGTTGTAGTAATAACCTTACCCCTTAAAATTTTTAAAACCCCAGTTTCAAGAAACATGCACCTTACACTCTCCAAAATGGTATTTTTCTGCATTCAACCAGGTCATTTTGTGAGGAGTGTTAATAGTTATTTTCAGCCTCTTGATACTTTATTTTCTACGAAACTCATTAAACTACTCTAAAACAAACACCAGACGATTGTCAATTCTTCTTTCACTATCATGCCTTGATCTAAAATTCCATAACTTGTTTTTGTCATGAAAATATTTACTAGCTAATGATTAATGACCAATAGTTATAGAACCATCCAAGATATATAACCCGTATATTTTAGACTCTTTAGCTACGATCAATGCAGCATGTGAAATTTTTAGCACTTCATGTCTAACTCTAGGGAAATAACCTAGATCACGAAATATGTTTATGGACATAATTTTTTGCTTAAGCTTGAGAGCATACTTCAAATTATGTAGAAGGAACTCACATTTATCACACATTTTAAGTTTAATTGTACTTATAACATAAACATTGCAAGCCTTGTTGTTACTAAGTAAAACGAATCCATTTTATTTCAATGTCAAAGTCTCAAAGTAATATTTCCTTGTTCACATATGACAAATCATAATAAGTTCATGAACCAACT